AATGGCTGCAAGGTCAGGCAGGGATGCAGGACAGGGCGGCACTGCCCCGTGCAGGGCATTCCAGGGGGGCTGGATAAGGCACATTCCCCGAATGCTGCTGCAGCTGGTGATGGGGAATGGGCTGGTCCAGCCAGGATGTGGCAGCTGCAGGATGAGCCCGGGAGATGTGACGTGTCTGAGGGGCAGGGACAGACACCTGCCCAGGAGGGAGCCGAGCCGAGCCGGAGCATCCATCGGCACACGGCCACCCCCATCCCACGGGAGGGGGATGTGGGAACTGTAGAGGCACCGAGGGGCCCTCTGTGTTGTAAAACAAAGCAGTGGATTCTTTAGAGGCTCCTGTGCTGTGCTGTGGCTGCAGCAGCCGGAGCTCACACAAGGTCACTGGAAGGGACAATAGCGCTCGGGGCAGCTCGGCACTGGAACCTCCAGCCACGGCTTGTCCTGAGGAGGAGAGGAGGTGTTCCCCCTTTGTCACACCCTGGCAGTGGGCACAGGGCTGCTACAGCTCGGGCACACACGTACAGACACACACTGTGCTCCCTTTGTCCGGCAGCTCCAGTTTGTCACCTGAGCCAGGTCCTGCCTGGCCAGGGATGAGCAGCAGATCCAGCCTCTCACTCGCTGCTCACCAGACCCTTCTGCTCCTGAAGTGTGTCTGGCCTGAAGTGCTGACATTTCTGTGCTTTCCCGTGGAAGCTCCAGCACATCCAGGGTGCACATCCAGCACATCCACAGCTCGGGATATTCCATGATTCCCTGAGGGTGGGCATGGCTGAACGTGCATGACGTGTGAGGGGAGGTGGCACGTGATTAACCCAGTCAAAATAATTTGCCCTGGATCTATTGGGGCAACTGATACCGGCTGGAACTGCCAGGAACTGTCCCTCAGGTTATGTGGGACATCTTTTTCTTGTAAATAAACGTGGACAGAATGTGGGTTTGGCTTTTGAGGACTACGTGTGACAGCTCTGTCACAGCAGAGGGGCTGTGGACCCCAAAGACCTCACTCCAGTGCCAGTCCTCTGACTGAGGGCTGAGGTGGTGCCACTCTGAGGCAGCTTTTTGACTCTTCTCAAGGGCCTTTGGTTGGTGAAACAGGCACAGCCTTGGACCCCACAGTTCTGAAAACAAGGTTTGGCCAAAAGTGTTTGCTCTGAGGAGCCAGAACCTGGTCTCCAGCACTCTCTGCCCTCCCTGGAAGTGCCCTGGCAAGGAGGTGGGGGGGTTTCCTGCACCCACAGAGGTGACTCCTTCCCTCACTGCATCCCAGAACCATCCAGGGCACGTTCCACTTTCCAATCCCCTTGGCATGTGGTGGGGACCTGGACCTTTGTGCACTATTAATAAGGTGCTGTGCTGGTGTGACAGCATCTGAACCACTCCTGTGACGTCCCCAAGGACTTGAGTGGCAACAGGAACCTTGTGGGGGTCTGTCCCTGCTCTCCTCCCCATCCCAGGGGCACCACTCAGTCCTGGTAAGGCAAGACAAAGGATGGAATTCCCTGCAGCCCAGCTCTCCCAACTGTTGCACCATCAGGAAAAATTCACTTTCCCTGAGCTTTGCTAAACCCTTTCTGGAAAACTCTGCGGAGTGGAAATGTGGCTCTGGGATCTCCTCTGTATGGAACTATCCTGGTAGCTCAGGGTTCCCAAAAAAGCTGCTTTTCCGGGGAGCTTTAGTGACAGGAGGTTTTATTTTTTAAGGAAACTTGCACTTGGGATCCAGCTTTGATTTCTGATACTTGGGTAATTAAATTGCCAAATCCAGACAGGTCAAAGGTTTTACTCTCTGTCGAATTTTGCCTCCCATGAAGTAAAAGAGACTTCAGCTCTGAGCGTGGCCTGTGGAATCACGGGGTGTTGGGAACAGTGAGCACACGGAAAGGGAGCTGAGAAAGGAGAGCCAGGCCCTCCCAGCTGCCCCTGCCCAGCCCAGGGATGAGCACAGGGAGCGAGGAGAGCTGGAGGAGATCCCACTGCAGTGTGCAGAGTCAGCCTGCACCGAGCAGGGACAAGGCAGGGAGGAGGTGACTGTGTCCCTTCCCTCTGCCCAGCAAGGGAACAAGGGCTGTGCAGAGAGCAGGATGGGGGGAAAACCCCTTGGGAAGTGTGTGAGGAGAGCCCTGGATCCCTTGTTAGCACAGCTGGCTGTGCTGCACGTGTGTGACCTGTGTGTGTGTCACATCCCTCAGCACTGGGGGGTTTGGCAGAGGGGAGGGGGGGACTCCAGGACCTTCTTCTTCTGGTCCTGGGCTGAGACTGTCCATGAAAACCACCTCATGTGTGGGGAGAGGTCTGTGCTCACTTCCTGGGATCGGGTCAGTCCTGGATGTGCCTGGGAATTTTGCTTCTCTGAGCCTCAGAGATGCTTTTGGTCCCCCCGGGGGTTGTGGGACTGTGGTGCAGAGGGGACACACACCAGGTCCTGCTGAGGAATTCCAGCCCTGGATCATCTCAAGGAGCCCAGGTTTTGGGAGGGGTTTGTGGATTCTGTGCCTGTGTTGCAGGAAGCAAAAGGGAGTAAGTCAAGGACCTGCCAGGAGTCCCCATGTCATGGAACACGGGAGGGGGTGTGTGCAGAGATTTGGGAAGTGTGGAATATGACAGGTGTGTGTGCAGGGATTTGGGAATTGTGGAAGATGGGAGGTGTGTGTGCAGGGATTTGGGAACTGTGGAACACAGGAGGTGTGTGTGCAGGGATTTGGGAACTGTGGAACACAGGAGGTGTGTGTGCAGGGATTTGGGAAGCATGAACATGGCTGGTGTGTGTGCAGGGATTTGGGAAGTGTGGAATATGGCAGGTGTGTGAGGCTTCTCTTTTCCCCCCCTGCAAAGCTGGCTGTGTTCATGGGAACCCTCCCAGTCATGGCAAGAGCTCCTTTTTGAGGAGCCCTCCCTCCCACACCCTCCGCCCTTGGATTTTTCCCAAGCCAAATGAGGGAAAAACCAAATGAGGGCTGCCCTTACCCCTGAGGTCTCTGTGAGCTGCCATCAGAGCTGGCCTGGAGGCATCTCCTTCTGTTGCATCCCAGTCGGGTCCCTTTGCTGGATGGAAACGGGGACTGGACACGGCTGGATGGGCTGGCTTCCCACTTCCCACCCCCGTGCCATGGCACCGGGCTGTGCCAGCCCTGCCAGCGCCGGTGCCTCTGGTGCAGGTGGCCCCCATTAAGTCGTCGCCGAGATTAGGGCTGTTTTCAGAAGGTTCCTTTGAGTGGAGGTTTGTTTGTGTAAATATTTGGACGTTTCTCAGGCGTGATTATCGAGCAACCTGCACCTCATGCATATTCAGAGGCCTCGGCGATTGCCTCCTCTCCTGCGAGTGGGAGCGGGGCCGGGGCCGTGGCTGGGGGAGAGCCGGGATGTTGGGGATGCTAGGGATACTTGGGATGCTGGGGATGCTAAGGATGCTAGGGATACTGGGGATGCTGGGGATGCTAAGGATGCTAGGGATACTGGGGATGCTGGGGATGCTAAGGATGCTAGGGATACTGGGGATGCTGGGGATGCTAAGGATGCTAGGGATACTGGGGATGCTGGGGATGCTAAGGATGCTAGGGATACTGGGGATGCTGGGGATGCTGGGGATGCTGGGGATGCTCGAGATGCTGGGGATGCTGGGGATGCTGGTGGCAGTACTGGGAGAGCCCGTGCAGCTCTGCCCCGAGCTGGGAGCACTGGTGATGCCCCCAGTGCCAGGACTGTGGCGGTGCCCGCAGTGCTGGAGGTGCCCTGGGCTCCCTGGAGCGGGGACAGCCCCTGCCCTGCGGTGCCCAGCTCTGGGGGAGGCAGAGGGAGGGGGCAGGAGGGCTGAGCACAGAGCCTGGGCAGCCCCAGGGCTCTTGGCTGCTCCCCAGGAAGGCTCAGGGCTGTGGAAAGCAGAGGCTCCAGAGCAGCTTGTTTTTCATCCCTGCATCCCCCATCATCTGGGATCCTCCCACCCCACAGGCTCAGCTCTCAGGGACCTGTCACTGCTGATCCCCTCCCATTCAGCCCCCACAGACCTGCCTGATTTTTCCTACTCTACAACTCCCTCACTCCATCCCTGCCATTTTCCTGCCTTTCCCAAGTTAACCAGGGTTTTCCAAGCAGTTCAGCTTCACCCCAACCTCGGTCTCCATCACCTCACTGCACAAATGAACCCAGTCACCCTTCTGGCATGAGGCACAGGGCCAGCCCCTCCAAACCCCTGAGAGAGATGGAAGCCTTGGAAAGCTCTGGAGCTGGGAGTGCTGCTCCTTTACCCCCAGAGGTGTTCAGGGCCCTGGAAGGGGAGTTGCCAACTGCTCCCATGCTGGGAGGGATTCTTTTATCTCCTACAGGCAGGAATTGCTGCCTGGTCCTTGAGGAACACCCCAAACCTCCTTGGTCATGCATCAGGAGAGCCTGAGGTGGTCTTGGATCTTGTCTGCAGGAGGGATTCCTTCCTCTGCTGTCAGAGGAGGAATTCAGGGATGCTTTCACAAGCCTCCTCCGTGGCTATGAACACTCTCTGCTCTGATATGGGAGGCACAGAAGTCTCATTTCACTCTGGGACATGGAGCAGCACAGCTCACCCCTGGGGCTGTCCTGCAGAGCAGGGAGGGGACAGTTCTCCCTCCTGCCAGGGGACGAGTGGTGGTGGCCCTTGCACCAGCCCGTGTGTGCTCACAGGAACAAGGCATTAGTGGCCTCTGCCTCAAACACAGGCAGCTGTGACCTTTGTGTCCCCGGGGGTGGCTGCTCCGACCGCGTGTTCTGCTTAATATTTGATGAGGAAAACCTCGGGCGCGGGGAGCCCGTGTCGGGAGCGCCACAGGAGCCCCTGACCCGGGGTCGGGTTTCTGTGCTTTCCCACCCTCCTCCCTGCCAGTTCCTCTGCTGACATCAGCACCAAGAGCCAGGGCAGCACTTCAGCTCCCTGGGACGGTGGCAGGAGCTGGGAGGATGGTGTTAAACCCTCCATAACTGGGTGGACGAGGCGCTGACCCTTCTCCCCGTGCGTGTTCCCGCCGCAGGCATCATGTCCATTACGTTATCCCGTACGACGGGGACCAGTCGGTGGTGGATTCCTCGGAGAACTACTTTGTGACTGACAATGTAACCAAGCAGGAGATTGACCTGATGCTGGGACTTTTGCTGGGCTTTTGTATAAGCTGGTTTCTGGTGTGGATGGACGGGGTTCTCCACTACGCGGTGCGAGCCTGGAGAACCAGCCGACGGTATGGTAAGTGCAGCCCCACGGGCTCCTCCTCTGCCCTAAAACCCTTCCCCTGCCCTTGGAAGCTGGTGGAGAGGGAGGAGATCCACACTCCTGCCATGTTTATTCCACGTGGGTTTGGCACCAGTCTGGCCAGATGTATCCCAGCCCTTTGTATCCCAGGAGTTGGGCTCGATGATCCCTCGTGGGTCCCTTCCAGCTCAGGAGATTCCATGATTGTCTGACAGAAGCAGGAATGTTGATGTGGGAATACTGAGGATCCCAGCCCCGAGGGCTGTGCTTTGGAAAGGGTAATGTATGTGTGGGTGCAAAGGGGTGTGAGATGCAAAGGAAGACCTTTCCCTGTGGGCAGGATGGTGCTGGGGGTTCTGTGGCTGCTCATTTGGGCAGAATGTTTTCAGGTCAGACCAAACTTCAAAAAGCTGGATATTAAAAAAAAAAAAAAAATTAGAAAAAAATCTGGATTTTTCCAATTTACAACCAGGGTTATGCTGTTGGAGAGCAGCCTTGTGTGGTTGTACAAACCTGTGACATTGTGATGACAGTGACAGACATCTGTGCTGTGTCACCCGAGGTTTCCCACCCTCACTGCTGTCCAGATGTGTCCAGATGTGGTGACATCAGCCCCACAGGGAAAAGTGTGGGGCAGACTAGTTAGTCTTTGGACCAGTAAGCTCAGCATCCTGAATTAACACCCTCAGAAGGACAAACAGACGCTCCTTCCCCTCCCCAGTTTGCTCCCTCAGCATGGACACCCCATGGACTTTAATCTTTGGAAGGGAAAAAAAAATAGGCAGAAAAACTATTAATCCAGGGAATGGCTTGAAATTCCCTCACACTGTACCCATAAATCTCGGTGTCTCCAGCTCTGACTGATGGTGTCTGTGAAATTACAACTCAGAGGAAAAGGAGAGCGAGCAAGAGGAAGATTTATCTGCAAAATTCTAATTAGGGAAGTGGACTATCTCTCTCTGAAAACTCAGATAAAAATGATATTAATTTCCCATTAGTCTTCCCAAATCCTGTGTGAGCAGGCTCTGAGTCAGGACTCCCTCCAGGCTGTGGTGCTGCTGTTTCCCAGAGCAGAAGGATAACTGGTTTGCAGTGGGATCTCAGGTGCTGAGCCAGCGTTGGGGCCCTGACCCCCCTGCTTTCCATCAGAGCACCTTTGCTGTGACCTCCTCGGGGCCCATGGGGTCAGGGCTGGCAAAGGGATGTTGTGGTGAGCAGGGGAATATTGTTCTCCAGAGCTGGAGCTGTGAGCTGTGTTATCACCATCTAACCCACCCCTCGTGAGTGGAGACCGCAGAGGGTTTTATTTTTAGTGATTAATTTAGTATTTAAGCTAATTGATCTCTTTTGTTTCGTTTTTTTCTTCCTCCCTGTCTATGCCTATTCTAAGCCTTTAAGGAGGGTTTGGCCAATGGTGCAATGTTCTTTTAGGTATTTCCTATTCATTCAAATCACCTGTGCAAATTGGCCATTTTAAAGGCAATAAGCAGGAAGGAATCCTATTTCTTTGTGGAACAAAGCTGAAATTTTCTTCTGAAGAGAGAAATGGTGCCTGTGAGTGCGAGACAGGGGTAGGGTAATACAAATTCTGTGCTGGTACAGGACGAGGAGCCCTCCCTGAAAAACATGAGCACCACTTAGCAGTGACTCAATGTCACATTGGGGCCTGATCAGCTTAAATCGTGGTCTGTTGGAATAACCTATAGCTCCTTCCTGATGGGAGGGATTGCCCAAAATAGCAAACATTCTATGGAAGCTCAGACATCAGGCTGTGGCTGGTCAGGGCAGTCACAGCCACCTCATGTCAGCTGCAATCAGGGGCTCAGGCTCCTTTGGGATGGAAAAGACCCCTGAGATCATCAAGTCCAACCATTTCCCAGCACGGCTGTTTAACTTCACACAATCTGTCGTTCTCTGGGACTTCCCAGCTGCCCTTTGTGGGAGTTTTGGGGGGGAATCACCCCGAACTCTGGTGGAACAGGATGGCAGGGGGAGGTTTGGGGGCTCAGAGCTGAACCACTGGGGGACCAAATGACACTGTCCAGGCTGCACGAGCTGAGGGGCAGAGAGTGACCCAGTGGTGCCACATCCACCTCGTCCCTGTTCCGTCCTGAAGGGAGGAACTCGGGGGTGGCTTCGCCAAGGCTCGGACTGGTGGGACAGCACAGCTCTCACCATTCCCGTCACACCTCACCTTCCTTCTCCCTTCTGCTCTTCCAGACAACTCCTGGTCTTGGATTCCCAAATTTTGTAACTTGAAGGAGTTCAGGAAACGTCACCACAGGCAGTACGAGGAGGCGACCGGGAACATGGTGCACATCAAACAGAAGCTGTACCACAACGGGCACCCCAGCCCGCGGCACCTCTGAGGAAACCTCCCCCCCCTCTGGAGACTGCAGGGAGCTTTTAAAAAAAAAAACCCACAAAAAACCGAACAAACAGAAAAGGACTTTGCTCTTCTTCCAGCCGGACCAGCTTCTGGTTTGCTCCTCCGTGGAAGCCCAGCTGAGGACAGGATTTTACTGATCCATATCCCCGGGACGCGCCACGATGCACAACTGAAGCCAGTCCTGGATGCCACGCAGCCAAGACATTGCACTGTGTTCCACGTTTTATTGTCAGACTTGTGTATATATGTAAAAAAAAAAAAAAAAAAAAAAAAAAAAAAAAAAAAACAGACGAACTAAACCAAACAAACAACAAAAAAAAAAAAAAAAAGAGAGAGAGAGAAAGAGAGGAAAGAGATTTGCATTATACTTTCAAGCCCCCCACCCCCGAATTTTCCCCGGCATTCCCGGCTGTCCTGCACATCCAGCTGCCCCGAGGGGAATGTTGGCCGAGGGGATGGAGGTGGGACAGCACGAAGAAGATGCAGAGTGTCTCATCCAAGAGCTCAAGTCCCCCGTTTCTTTGGTCCTTTGGCTTGGTTTTGCTCTGCCCTGTCCCTTCTGTTGCTAAAATGGCTTTGGCTGGTCACAGGTTTGGATGGGCACTGCTGCCAGCGGGTTGGGAAGGCACAGTGTCCCTTTTTGCTCTGGTTCATGTTCTGGGGAGTCGCTGTGGAGGGAAGGAAATCCTGGGAATGTGTAAGTGGTTTGTTGTTTGAGTTGCTGTATACACTGAAACCTGCCTTAAGCAATCCAGGGAATTTTAGTGCCAGGGGAACGGCCCCGTGAGGTGCCAGCCCGTGGGGCAGGGCTGGCCCTGCCTGGGTCACCCCTCTGGTGGGATCTTGGTGATGTCAGTGCTGTTGTTCTTCACTAGAGCTGGAGGGGAGGGAGGGAGGGAGGAGTGGATGGTGTTGGATCTGACTTTGCACCCCAATCATACCCCTCTGCTCATAAACACCCCCCACCCCTTCCCTGGGAGCAAAGGAGCTGCTTTCCCCCTTTTTTTGGAGGGAGAGCCCGAGGCCCTGGTTAAACCACCCCAAAACCACTGGCAGTGCAGTGAGAGGGTCCTGTGAACAGTCTCACTCCCCCTGCACATGAACAAACACTTATTTCTCGTGCTCCTGCCCTGAGCTGAAACAGCAGCAGGTCCTGGCTTGGCTTGAGGGACACAGAGATGTGGAACCTGAAGCCAAACTCCTCTACAGAGCCAAATGTCCCAAATGTCCCACGTTCACGTGGTTGAATCAAAGCATGAGGATGCTCTGATGTGGTTTTGCCTTTGCTTCCCCCAGTCACATCTCAGATGTGGGTTTTAAGGTCTGAGTGTGACTGAGGGTCTGAAACCAACCTCCACACCCAGAGACCTCCCTCACCTGCAGGCAGAGGTGCCTGAAGGAGCTGATAAAGCCCCTGTGTGGTGGTGTCTGATCCCTGCAGTGGGTCCTGTTCTGCTGGTGGGCAGAGAGAGAATTGATTGAGAGGAATAAAGGAGGGAGATGCCCCAAGAAGTTAAGGTGGTAGCCCCGAAATCACATCTCCTTCATTCACCATTTTGTATTGAGTGGGTTTGTGCTCAGATGGGGAAAACACCCAGGACAAAAGAGGATGAATATTGGCAGAAACTGCTGGTTTATTCCATGGATTCCCTCCTGTTGTTTGATGGCAATATCTGTGGAGGGAAAAGGACACCATCACTCCAGCTCTTTCCTCCCTGCTTCAGCTTCTGTGTCTTGGGGTTTGTTTTTTTTTAATTTTGTTATGCCCAGGGTCAGATCAGTTAATTACAAGCCCCAAGAGCCAAACATTCCCGTTTCTCTGCCATTCCTACCTTTGCTATTCCCCAGGGTCTCTTGTTTTGGAGCCTCATTTTCTGCCTGGGCCTAAAGAATTGCCTGGTCCGTACTTATGTCTGTTTGACTGTCTGTCATTCCGGGTTCCCTGTGGCTGGAATGTCTGCAGCCACCTGTTGGGACCTAAGGAATGACTTTTTCCTGGAGCAGCTCCTTTCCAAGAGCTTTGCCCCCTCCTTGTGCCATGGCACACACTGAAGTGGCAGGGAAGAGCAGGTCCTGTGTTATCAACATGCCTTTAGGTGGGACAACGTTTTGTAGGGGAGAAAATTCCATCATGGTAAGGAGAATACCTCTGGAACTAGTTATGGGGGGGGAAAAAAGCACTTTAAATAATCTTTCCACTTGGAGCCTCTCAAGAGAGAGACTTAAGGCAGTGGCTTAAAGTCAGACTGAATATAAAGCCTGGTTCTGCCCTGCTCTAGCAGCTGACCTTGGTTGAAACATCATTAAATATGGGACAGCTGGAAAGAGTGAAGTGATGGCTCTCACTCATTAAGTCTGATCTGTCTGATCCACAGCAAAATTTCAGAAGAGCCTGGGGCTCTGGAAGAAGGAGAAAAAAA